CGAGCCGAACTCTACCGTCAGCTTCCGTTTTCGCTGTCTCTTTGACGACCGTCCAGTAACTCTTTCTCGGAGTAGACGTTTTGTTATGAACGTCCGTTACTCTTACCGTTTTAAGTTTGGCTTTGACCAAGGAATTACGATTACCGTCAATGTCAAGATCTAAGTAGTACGTCATGTAATGGTCGTGGTTAACGGCGATGGTGTTTTTAGCCACTAGCGTCCCATAAACGTTTTCCGTTATCTGCTCGTTCGAAGTGTACGACGTCGCTTTGACTTCCAAAACTCCAGTCAAATCGACCTATAGTAAAAATAAAAGTGAAGTATGTAAATGACAAAAATTTGGAGAAATATTAAGTAAGTTTAGGAACATAATAACAATGAAAGCAAAGCACATAGATTACTATTTCACACTTGTAAATGTCCAAACTTGTTTCTTTTAATCGCCATGCAAATACTCAAGAATCATAATATCAAGTGTAAATAAATTGAAAATTAATCTGGTTAATTGTAACAAATAGATTAAGTAGACATTACCCCAACTCTGATGGCTCCATTCTTTTTAAATTCCCAATCAACGATGTAATCATAGTTTCCGAGTGTTGCCACCATTCTAACCACTAAACTTATATCAGCTTCACCACTAGTTATCTGCCAAACATTGATTAATTAAATTACTAGTAATTAATAACTCTTAAAAAAGTAGTTCAGGAGCTGGATTTTGAAGTTTACCACTTGTCCTGGAACATTAATCTCGGTGTGTCTAAACGAAGCACCATAACCGTTTTTCTCAAAGACACACATCACATTGGTCATCCTCTGAGCTGTCCCATCAGGTCCCGCCACGTGTCCATCAAAAAACGCAGCGTTTTGTGGGCAGTCGATGAGTGGCTGCAGATTCACGGCGGATCTCCCGAAACCGAACTCTCCTATGTCCATGAACGTACGAAAGTACCATTCGTAGGTTGGGTCCATGTACGGAACAAAAGTCTCTGACACGTGTCCTCTGTACATCACTCTTCTGAACCTTTTTGTTCTCGTGTCAAGAACCGAAGCCGTCGATATCGTTACTCCCGCTCGAGCGCTAAATCCGACGTGGAATTTCCAATTAGCCCATTTTATCTTATTGCCGAGAATCTTGAAGCCTGTGTCGGAGACGTTGCAAGAGAACGGGAAAGGTTTGTGTTTTGTCCGAAAGTCGTTATCTTTTGAATCAGGGAGAGGCTTTCGAAATCTGTCGGAGTATTTCACGACTCGCATCAAGTCAACGTCTATGGTTACCGTGATTCCTTCGATGGGTCTCGTGAAAACGTTGACCGATCCGTCTCTGTAAAAGCAAGAGGCTTTGACCTCGCGTCTCGTGATGGTTTCTCCGTACCAACCAACGGTGAAAGGGACGCAAGAAACCTCGGAGATGTTTAAAGATCGATCAAGAATCGATTTCTTGAAAGGAGGGTAAGTTAGAGGAAGCTTGCTTGCTTTGAAAAGCTCTATGAATGTGAACGAAGGAAAGCCATGGCCCGTGTAGAGGCGTGAGGAAACGATTTTGCTAGTGGTTAGGTCGATGATGAGCTCGTGGGTTTGACCACCGGCTCGAACCACCACGAGCGAGCGACGAGGTGGTGGTTGTGGTGGTTTCTTGGAGGATAGCCATTGGAGGACGTGGGTTTTGTTTGGCTCTTCGAGATCGAAGTAGTGAAATGTGAGATCTATGAGGTTGCCTAGATGAGATTTCTTGACGATGAAGCTTGTTTTGTTGATTTCTTGTGGCGTTAAGGGATCTAGTGGGTGGAAATGGAGGCTAAGATTGAAAGCACATTGTAAGAGAAAAAGTAGGGTAAGTATTAATGCCTTCATTGATTGAAATTTTGTGGTCAAATTTAGTTGATGGAGTTGTTATTGAAGAAGACGACAACAACAAATACATTTATATGCATGCACCTAAATGTTTATAAGTGCGTCATCATGAAATAAAAAAATTAAAACATATAGTCAGAGACTCAGAGTTGGTTAGTCGAATGTGATTAATTAGAGTAATCAGAAACGTAAAGAGGAAAAATAATTATCACGTTACATTTTATATAGTGTTCCTTCTCCTTTAAGGGAGCAAACATGCATAGGATTTGGATTATAAACAATATATATATATATATATATATATATATATATATATAATTAACCTGAAGTGTAAAACAAGGATTATGCGTTAGCCCCAAAAAAAAAAAAAAACACACACACAAGGATTATGCAAGATTACTAATCTTCCACTTGTACATGTGATGATGTTATCACAAGTTCAGCTTCTGCGTGCTTGAACTTCGTTTACGTTACCGAATTGTTCTGCTTTTTTTTTTTTGTTCTTTGTTTGACAATAAAATAATTAAGACATAAAATAATTAAGACAAAATGATGTTATATGTTAGAGCATCTCAATCGCTCAGAGCATCCTCAGCGCTAGATATCTTTAAGAATATCATTATCGGTAGTATCTCAATGAGTCTTTTACAAAAAAAAAATAAAAAAAAAGTAAAATAAATTAATTAAAATAATTTTTTTTTTTTTAAGAAACTGGCTGAAAGTCCAATCTCAAACGAAAGAGACTTTGAGAACTTCATGAGAAACTTTGACATATGATATATGTCATTTTATAATTAGTTCAAACTTATTAAATATATCTTATAGTCAATAATTTTTTTTTTCAACAGCCTCATGTTTTTAGAACAACTCAGGAAGCCAAGTTGGTGGAATTGAGTTTACATAACTTAGATAATAAATGTGGTCTCAAGCACTTCGTGCTAATTTGTCCGCCTTTGTGTTCTGCGCGCGTGGTATTTTGGAGATTGAGAAAACTTCACGCTCCCTTCTACTCTTCTCATATTCCTCCAGATGTACAGAGAAGGCTGTCCACTCCACTGGATTAGACACCATCTTCACCAATTCGGAACAGTCTGTGACAAAAGCCACCTCCAATCTCCTAGCGTCAAGCATACAATGCATTGCCCATATCAATGCTTCTAACTCTGTATGCAAATGTGATAAACTCCTTCCAACGTTCTTCATTCCCATTAACCCATCGTTCCTGCTTCCTGATTGAACCACCCTAAACCCGCATTGGGTTTACCTTGTTTTCAAGATCTATCTGTTTGACAAATTACTCTGTTGTACGTGAGAACCCTATCTTGTGTCCCACACGGTATGGTAACCATCACTTCATCAGTTTGTACCTCATCCCAATCATGTGCTTCCGCAGTTGTCAATTTTACTATTTATCGAGGGTTCCAATCAATATTTGAGAAAATCCTATCATTTCTCATTTTCCTTGTAGACAATAGTTATTAATGTTAAATAAATAGTTTCTATGTTTCTATGTCATAAATCATAAATTAAAATTATCTATCTATCAAATTCCATGATGTATAAGTTTAAATTATATACTAATATTTACAATTTTATAAAATGTAAGTAAGAAAATGAAATAAATAATTATAAATAATTTATATAATTATATATATTTTGAAACATAATTTTTCATGTTTAGAAGATGTTAACAGAAAATGTTATTAAAAGAATGAAATACAAACTTTTAAATAAAACAATTTAAGAAATGATTAAATTATTATAAAATATTAATATTACATTTTTAAGAAATTCTAGTGGGTATCTCATCCATATATGTCAAAATTTTGGATAAGTTTCTCAAACTAAAAAATAACAAAAATAATAATATTATATAGCCATTGAGTTTCTCACAGATAATGATGCTCTAAAGTATCTCAACGAATAATATTTTATTGTTATTTAATTAAACAATTAAATTTAAAAGAAGAAAAACAGTTATAGCCAATAATAAAGTGACAATATCTCAAATTGGGGGAGGGGTATTCAAACTAAAAATTTTAGAGAATTTGAAAAGATTTAAGTTTTAATAAAATTTTAGATGATTTTATGTGGATTGAGAAAGTTGATATGATTTGATATTAAAATTATATGAAATTCTACCTAAAACAATGAGATTTAGTTTTCTATATTTTTAACTAACAAACTCCACTAAATTATTTAAAAATACTCAATATTTTTTAAAATTTACTATTTAAAATATTTCCAATAACAATTCATGTTCAATAACATAGATTTTGGTAAGACATTTAGAAATCCTTAGTTGAATAATATAAAATTTTAAAATAACAACAAAATCTTTTAAAATTTCAGTTTCAATATAGCTCTTTTATGTTAAAGTTCTTAAATAAAAACGGATTTTCATTCTCTTTCCTCCTTTATTAATTTTTTTATTATTAAAATATTGAAATACTTTATCAAAAGTAACGGTTAACATAAAATATTATTATTTGAAGAGTCTCTTAGCCATTAAATATTATTATTTGAAGATAATTTATATAAATAATTAATCTTTAATTTTAAAATAAAAAGTAAGTCATTCATAAGATGAAGTATAACCAATGTTTTGAAACTCGACCCGAAAAGCAAACCGAAATATCTATCGGATCATTGAGTTTTTGAGTTTATTTGGGTTGATCCGGGTCAACCGCAGGTTAACTAATTAATAAAAATTTATATAATATAGTTTTAAAAATAGAAAAATAGATTTAAATATAAAAAACATAATATCAACTGATCAAATTGTTAAATATAAAAAACATAACATAAATTGTTCAAAACATAATACAAGCAGCTGAAAAAAGATTTAATATTGATTCAAATTATAAACTTTAAAACTTAACAGAAATCACAAAGTAACAAAACCCTATAATTTAATAAGAAATTATTTATATTAATGATATTTTTTATTAAAAAAGTAAACTTGCTGGTTTAACCGGGTCAATGAATCACTAAATCACGAATTAATCGCAGGTTTTTCTAGATTTTATCAGGTTAATAACTATCGGATTTTAAGAATAGAACCGATTCAAATGAGTAACCGGGTTTCAGTTTAACCGGACGAACCAAATTGGGGTTTATAATTTATTAGATAAGTTGGGAGATGCTTTTACGCAGTGAAACGTTTTTATATAAAAAAAAAAATGTCCCCAAAAACTATATTATAATGATTAACTTGCAACAAAGATTTTGCTGATCAAAACATTATAAATTATAATAGGAGATTCAAGAGAATGTATAATTCAAACAACTAGTGCTGATATAATCATAGGTCTACCACAAACTGTGGTCCACAATGAGTAAGTTATTAAAAAAGACTGTTTTTAATTTGGTGTCATCATCACAAGGATGAAGACGGGTTCGTAATCTTAGGAAGCCATTCTTTGTAGTACTTTTGGCAACCCACATCAACCTGAGAGAGAGCTCCAAGTGGCGTCACTGTAATCTGCGTTTTAAAAATCGCGTTTCAGCATCAAGTTTAGATAATAACAGTGTAGTGGAGATGATGAGTTAAGGGACAAAATATATTGGATTGCTTACAAATCCTTCACGTAGGAAGTGAAGATCAGTCCCTTCTTCAACCTCCACGCCCTTAAACTATGAAGCAGAAGAATCAATGGAATCAACTTTACGTAGCCATAGAAAGTAAAGATTAAGCCAAATAGTGACAAAATCTGTTATTGATGATAGATACCTCTCTCTTGAATAAACGGCAGTCTTTTGAATGATTAGCAGATGTGCCGTTGTCTGAGACTACTCCTGAATCAGTTTCCATTACCATTGTTGACAGCATCTTCGCTCCTTGTGCTTCCTCCTCCACTTGTCTCCATCCCATCCTACCCAAGCTTGTACCTTGTGCGGTAAGTTTATATCCCTTCATTTGGAAAAGAAGAACCAGGACATATGTTAAGCGTAGGTAATAAGAGACTGTTGTTAAAAAGCTGCCAAGAGAGTTAACCTTATGGTTAGCAATATCAGTAGGCAAATCGATGTTCAGAAAGCATTTCGTTGGGTGGGTTTTGTTCTTGATTGCACTGAGCATGCCGTTGATGATAGGCAAGCAAGCTTGAGCAGCGAGGACAAAGTCATCAGCATTGATTTCTCCACGTTTCCTAGAGAGCATTAAGGATGAGTAAATTAGAAGATCTTAGAGGACAACGTCATCAGCACTGATGTCTCCACATTAGCTTCTTGAGAATATATACTCTTACCAATCATATGATATGGATGCAGAAGGCACATCATAGATGAAGGCTTCACGAGCTCCAGCAACAGTTCCAGAGTAGACACTGCGATGGAATCAACATGCCAAGGTAAGTGCTAATCTGATAAACGCAGGCAAGGACCATAGAAGAATACGTAAATCGGAAAAAAAAGGAAAACAGAGGAGGAAGTGTTCACACACATGTTATATCCACAGTTGCTACCAACGTTTATACCACTAAGCACCTGCATGAAGAAAACAAACATACATCAACAAATCAAAAGCTCTTTGGCACAATCATATAGATCACTTTGCAATTTTATAGTGACACTCCATAGGATCACTGCAGCAAAATATGGTTACCAGGTCAGGAGGAGAAGGGAAGAGAGCTTCCGATAATCCCAAACCAGTACAGTCCGCAGGGGTTCCTACAGAGCATTACAGAACATACAATCAATAACATATCATTTCAAACCATAGAAAGAAAAAAACAAGATAAAGTTCAAAGCTTTTTCAATTTCTTGTTCCAACTCAATATCAATAGACACAAACCAGAAACAGCATAAGCTGTAGCTCCATCAATGTCGATTCGTTGTGCAGTGAGGGGTCTGCTCCATATGATACTGTGACTCACAGCAGATTTCTCCCTGGAAATGTCAATAAGTTACACAAATCATCTCCAAAAATTCAAAAAAAAAAAAACAGGAAAGGAGAAAGAGTCTGTTGAACAATTTGAATGGATTAAAGCCAGAGTCATCATCACACAAGACAATTCTCATCGAAATAACATTTAAATATCTCAAAGGCGTGCAAAGACAAGGCAATCAAAATCCTAATGTACAATCTCTAAGAGAATATATCAAAAACGAGTAGAACTTCAAAATCACACTTTTTCACGAACTCGAAATCGCTATCCAGGGAAATTCAAACGTATTCATCATAATCAAAGGTGATTCAGCTACATTTGAACAAAATAAAGAGTAAAAACGTACGAATCAGGAGCGCAGACGCGGACCTCGTAGAGGTTTGTGGAGACGAGGACGCGAACCAGGGAACGGAGGCCAGGGGCGTCTATGCCGTCGTCGTTGGTGACCATGATGATCGGCTTGTCACCGGAAATAACATCTCCACCGTCAATTTCCATCGCTGTGATCAGAGAAATCCGTACGATTTGCCCGGAGAGAAAGAGAAGAAGCAGAAAAGCGTTTGGAGTTGCAAAATGAGTGAAACTGTGAAAGGGGTTAAATAATTGGGACAATAATTTGTTAGTCAAACCAACATTGGGACAATAATTTGTTAATTACCATAGAAAGTAAAATGTAGCAGTCACGTCTTTGAATCATTTTTTTCTTAATTTATAAACAGCCAATAAGCTAATTACATCTTTACAGCAATCTTATCATCCACCGTAAAACTACCAATTGTGTTTTTTCTTGGAATACCAAATTATTTCTTTGTTTTCATTGATAAACTTTTGTATTCCTAATCAATGTACGTCTTGGTCAACAACATTTTCATAATTCCAATTAGTAGTTGGTATAACCAGCTATTAAAATTAATATATTAAATTAAAATTCAACTGAAAACTAAATATTCAACTTAAAAGTATATACTTACCTTGTATTTTACTAAATGAGTATATTTTGTTTTAATTCAATTTACGTTTTGGTCAACATTTTTTACCCCTAGTTAGTTATTTACTATACTTAAAACTATTCAAAATAATTTTAATTAAATTGGAAACTAAATTCAATTGTCTATATAATCTTTTTTTTTACTAAATGACTATATGTTAGAATTACCATGTTTTTTATATTCAGAAACTACAATTTTTGATTGTTATGAGAACTATAGATAATTTTTTTATCAAAATATATTGTGATCTCCTTAAAAATATATTTTCCTTCAACAGAATAAACAAATGACTTATTTTTTTTAACAGAATAAACAAACAACATATTCATTTAATGAAAGTTTTCAGATTTTATTGTGAATTTTTGTCGAAGATTATTCAAAATGTTTAAAAATAATCTACTCAAATTTGAAATTTTAAAATTAGTTTTAAAGAATATTTAAAATGTTTAAAAATAATAACAAATATAAACATATAATTTATCAAGTATTGCTAAATTTCAAATTAGAAAAAGTATAATATAAACCAAAAAGGTCCGTTTATGTTTCCAGAATTTAAAGGTAAGTTAGAATCAAATGTCTGATGTGTATACATTCTAATTTTCGATCGATCGCTATCATGACACAAAACCAATAAGAAATATGAGTAGATCGAGACCAACAATGCCTGAATCGTTGAAAAAAATAATATATTATGGCTAAATCACTGAATAAACTGAGGAAGATTAATTGAAGACAAAGAAGATGAAAAAAATTGAAGTATGTCCGCTTGACCTGCAAATCCATAGCAGGTAACCAGCTATCCACGAGTCTGACCCATTTGGTCCCGTAACATAGCGGACAAGTTTTACAAAGCCCAACTATCGAAAAATGTAATTTTATGCTTTTCCAAATTTAATTATTCTTTTCAGACTTGTTTCAAGATATAAATAGGCTTTTTGTTATAATAAAATATTTAATTAAAATTACACCATATTTTGCTACTAAATTTAAAGCTTTATATTTTAACATTGGGCCTGATTTTTATATACTACAAAAAATTAAAATATTTGTGATGAATTTAGATATTATATTAATATGTATTGTATTTATGTAATTACATTTTTAAAACTGTTTATGTTTGCACATGCGTGCGGACCAATGTTCTAGTAATTTGGTATAACAAAAACTACTCAATAAAATTTTAAATTAAAAAAACCAATTGGTAAAGAATTTCATTTTACATGTACAATATATAATTTTAGTGAATACCAATACTTAGTAAAATATGATATTATTAAATTAAAATTCAATTTGTTGCAAAATTAATTAGAAAAATTGGTAGTTAGTTATTTTATGAGTTTTTAATTAGCAAAATATATACTTTTTAGTTTTAATTTGATAAATTGGTATTTCTCTTTCTCTTTTTTTTTTTTGTCTAATTACATTTCACTCTTTCAATATATTCTTCACAATTCATCAAAATAAAATATATACTTTTATATTTTTTATACCATTGGTCATGTAACAAAAATTTGCAACGATATTAAGCTAAAAAAACCGTTGATTCTAAAAAAATGGTTCGTTTTTCCAACCAAACGGATCAATGAGCTTTTTTCAAATGACAAACTCAGACTAGTCTAATTAATTTGACATCTATATTATTTAATAATCTTCTTCAAGAAACTTCTATCTCAACCAATTTCAACATCTGCAAGCCTTTTCTCTGTCAAGGACTCAACGCTAGACCGATATCGAAAAAAATTACTACCCCGCCATCTGAAACTAAAAAAAAAACCTAAGTTCAATAGCATAGAATATATCTGGGTTCCCAAAAAAAAAACTTCTGCACAGAGAAAGAAGACTGTCGTTCCGTCAACCTCTGTGCGATTGCTCAAAAGTAGGTTACCTCTGCCGAAAACCACCAGCACCGGTCTGAGCAGGGATGCTATCTGATCTGAAGGTAAAGTTTAAAATTAAACTGATGAATTGTTTATAAATCCAACAATAGTAATTGCGCCTGAAAAGGTTGTGCTTTCGTATTTCGGAATGAAGACCCTAAGATTATATCTCTAAAGAATTCACGAATTTCAGAGCACTATTCGACATCTTCTTCGGTTTCTCTCCCAATCTTGCCTGCAGGTTCAAGACTTGATAAAATCGTTATTGTACTTGATGCAGATTCCACTGAAATGGTGATCTCAGATCGCGACCAAGGCAGTAGTGGCTCGAAGACACTTCCTAGCTACATGTTCGCCGCCAATTGTTACCCATCGGGTAGTCTATGTCTGAACATATACTTCAAAGCCAACATGATCGGTCAAGTGATTGGAGCGTTGGGTGAGACCAAAAAACTGCAACAAATTCTAAACTCCCAATTCGGTGGCCTCTTATGCCTACCATTTACCAACTCAGCCAAACTTCTTCATTTCCTTCTATCCCGCCAGCTTATTACAAAGAGGAGGTATGAGTTGTGGACAGTCTTTGGTAGCCAACCAATTCGGTTTTCGTTGGCGAACTTCAAGTGTAAGACAGGTCTTGTGTGACGTCCATACCCCGAAGATTGGAGAAGACTAAGGGGTAAGTCGTAGGCTTCAACGCCTCCTCAAGGAGAAACAAGTAAGAAACTGATGTCTGAGATGTGGTGAAACCGTTTTGACAAGGATGATCATATTGTTACATTAGATGACACGTTTCAAATGCTCAAGGATCCCTCTTTGCCATAGTGGAAACAACTCCCACTATCATATATTATCTTAGTGGACGGGATCCTCATATGTCGAGGCAAAAACCTAACAATCATGTCCGAATATATAGATATGTTGTGCGATATAAAATACTTTCTAGAGTTCTCATGGGGTAGAGAATCCTTTGAAAAAACTCTGGCTAGATTTTTCCCCGTAGGACATAACCAAGAAGACTTGCTTGTGGAACTTCATAACCATTTGAAACAGGAAAACCACGGCCTGTTACGGTTTTCCTTTAGCCTTGCAACTGCTTGCTTTTGAAGCTGTCCTTATACTGCTTACTAAGATTCCAGAACCAGATAATATGACTACGTTTCTATCCGATCCATATGCTTTGGCAATCACTATAACCCTTATGCAAATGAACGATGTCCTCGATGTGGACTTGGACCCTAAGGTAAATAGACCCTCCTATCTCATGTTTACATTACCACCACATATTTACAATACCGTTTTGGTTTGGTTTATTGTACTTGATGCATAGCAGTGCACGCCTCTGTATCTATTGATATTTCTGTGTGTACACTTATGTTTGTGCACGACGTAATCAAGGGTTTGCTATTTGAACTTCACTATTTCAACTTTATAAGGTTGGATATTTTCAATGATGAAGAAGATTCAGATGTTGGTTGGGATGATGAGGTGGCGGATGACAAAGTATCTTTCTTGTTGGAGCTTAAAAGAAGTGGTTATCAATTTAAGGAGTCTGATTTCCCAAGCGGTGATACCTCTATACCACCTATCTGAATGAATTCCTCAAAGATGCCAGACAAACAGCCAACCCCTTATAAGGCCGCGAAGAAGGATAAAATGGGAATAAAACCGGCAACTAAGAGGCGAGAAAAGGGAATACTAAAGAAGGTTTCTTGAAGAACAGGTTGGTGTAATTGTAGAAGAGCTGAAAAAGTAGATGGTTGCACAGTTAAGCGAATTAAAACAGGAGCAGGTGGATGCATTACATAAGTGTCGTCTCTACAGATAAGAAAGAAGAAACATCGGTCATTAGAGAGAAAACTAAGAAGGATCCCCAAAAACAAAAGGAAGAAACTGAAACTGATACTCATTACTTTGGAAGATAGCGTTCAAATAATCTTCGGAAGCTGGAGGTGATGCAGAAAGAGTCAACAGGTGCAAATTGTAGACCTAGCACCAAAAGACGAAAGCTGATAATGGATGACGATGATGATAATAGTACGCACGATGGTGGTTCTTGAGTTAACTATGGTGCGACGAGCATGTAATACAGGAACTTATGGGATATAAGTTGTATGAGAGAATGGTGCTGAAGAAGAAAGATAGAGTGAACAAGATAAAGACAATGAAGAAGAAATAGCTGCTAAAAATGAGAAAGTGGGAGAAGATGGAAAATAGGATGAAGAAGAAACAGGGTGAGCAAGAGTAAGAGGTGATGAAGAAAAGGAGGCTGAAGATGCGGACAAAACTACTGAACAATTCGTGGGTATGGCTAGCATACGCCCAATCCAGATTGCAGAGGTATTTCCATACACTTGGTTCCAAAAATACATAAGGATTCTAATTTGTTGTGTGAAAAGTAAGTAATGATGAGTTCCACTTTCAAATAGTTTAGTCTGAAGGCTTGCCTGATAATCCTCTGCAACTTATTACTCTTGGGTACTTCCATAGTGAATGGGCTAACTGTATTACAAAGATCGAACATACTTGGTGGAGTGTACACCGGTGATCCGTGTGTGAGGTCAAGAAATTTCTATCACTTCTCAATGAATCTAAGAAGAAGTAAGTGTTTATAATGAAGCATGACTTAGATACTTAGATCACATAATAATTTAGTGTAGAAATACATTTTTTTTTCTAAGGAGTTCGAGATTGTGACATGTCACATGGTGTCTAATAATTGTTTCCTAACCATTATTAAGAAACAGGAGTGGCTGGATATTGATGTAAGAAACAGAAAATCTTAACGTTTACCGCTTATCTTACATAATGTATATTCAAAACATATGATATTTAAGTCTCTCGATTTCTTTTTCAGCATATACAGGTTATAATGAGTATATTATCTCGCTGCAGAAGTGTGATTATGTTGAAAGAGAAGACAACATTCATAGACAACACATTTTGTCCTTCTTCAACTTGGCTTACGAGAATTTCAAACAGGCAGAGAAAAAAAATCACGTTTGATTGAGGAAAGAACGTTTCGAGCTATGTTATAGGAAAAAGCACAGAAAACTGAATTCAGTTTCTTTGAGGTATATGGATCTAGTGTACGCCCTAATAAACTGGGGAGAAGACCACTGGGTTGGTAGACCTTCGTCTCAGTACTGTTGAGATTTTAGATCCATACGTCGACCAAAATATCGATGACGATGTAGTCCAGTCTTACATGGAACCATTGCTTGAGAGTTTACCATGGATCCGGAAGCGTTACTTGCCATCTTCTTTCACACAACACCTGAGTACGAAGACGTACACTTGGACGTGTACTGATGGTATCTATCAAAACAAGAGGGTGGGGGATTGCGGGCCATGTTCTGCAAAGTTCCTAGAGATGAGATGCATGCTCTAGGGCTTGGAGTAGATAAGATAAGTGCGATCATTGATATGGATGTTAACATATGTAGAGAGAAATACACTATAGACGGGTACGAAGTGTTCATAGGCAGTCCGGAGGTTCCAAAAAAAAAAAAAAAAACCTGTGAAATTTTGTATTTTCTCTGATAGAGTATTTGTGTACCTGCAACATAAGATAATGAGTTCTAAGATAAACTCCTGAAGAACTTTGTTTTGTAAGGTTATTATTCGAAACGAAGTATTAATTTAGAGGGTTATGCATTCCGTATATGGTTATAGGTATAAAGTTTTCTTTCTCTTTGTGGAACCCATTTCTTATGGGCTTTGTGTTTTCGGATGAGCTTAACTATATGGGCTTTGTCATATCGGTGGATTTGAATTAGTCTGAACACGGGATTTGAATAAGTTTTACCGCGAGATTTGAATAAGTTTGACCAATGAAAAGAAGAAAGTAAAGCCTAAGATCTTGTCAAATCGATAGATTCATACAAAAGAAGAAAGTACAGCCTAAGATCTATAATAGAATAATGATATTTTAGGAAAATTAGTTGGATATGGTGTCAAAACGTTTCAATCTTATCTTCTCGTATGTTAGTTCTCGATAGGAAAAAAAATTAACTAGCTTTTAGAAGACGTAAAATCTTGAAATTCTTCAAAAGAAAAAAACTTTCATCCTTCTTCTGTAAAATAGTTGCTTTTGTTTTCATCTAATAAATCTCTTAGCGACAACGTCATATACTTCTAGCAGAGCAAACGGGTCGCAGATTGTCAGTAATCCAGCCACCACTGTCCATGAATGCCTTGAGACGCCAATGATTATGACTTCCTAGATAAACATGAACCTTGTGCAAGAGTTCAAGTGGATTGACCCCAAGCCTGCACATGGATGGCAGAAACTGCTATTGATCAAAGCACAAGACATAATTCGTGCCCTCAAAACGGAGCTTGAGTACTACAAGCAACTCATAAACATTGGACAAGGTGGTGGTCATGAAAGTCTCAATCTCAATAATATAGCTGGAGCCAAGACATGACCTAACCAGGTTGGTGGGATTTTGACCGGTTTTATGCTGTAAATGTCGAGTGTTGGAATTGTTATCTCTTCAGCAGGTTATTTTTTCTCGGTTGTTTCCCTCATTCTAGCTCTGGCGAACTGAGTTTGAGTTCTTTTGTATAAAAAAATTATTTCTTATGTTGGTAGTTATGTTTGTTATGCTAATTTGTAATGTTTGGGATCATCTTTTGGAAGATTGTGAACTATCTATTTCTATTAAGAACTGATTGTGGATATTTTTGGAAGATTGTGAACTATCTATTTCTATTTTGTAGTTGATGTTACTTACATTTGTTATGATAATTTGTAATTCTGGATGTTTCTGGAAGATTGTAATGTGGGAAATGTGATGTTCGGTATGTATTTTGATAAGTTTTTGATGTGTTTACACAACCTGTACAATACTTATATAAACACATAACTTTTAGACAATATGTACACCTAGTAACTTGTACACAATACTTATATACCAGAACATGTATACCATACGTGAGCATGTACACCATACTTGAGCATGTACACCATACTTGTACACCACAGCTTATACACTATACTTGTACACCATAACCTGTACACTTATCATGTACACCACACGACCACAAAGTTGAGTGAATCGAGGAGTCTAAATTGTTGCGTCTATGTTATTACATTGATGTTAAAGGAAGAGGTAGTTTAATGGTTAGTAGGTGTTATAAATACGTCAAGACATAATTCTATTTGTTTGGTTTACGAAAAGATGTGTCTTCTCCAGAGAAAAACGATTTGTATGTCTTTCATTACGCTTAAATACATATTCTTCTCTGATCAACATTGTTCACCCTTCTTCCTAATATAACAACTTCTCTTTCTTCTCTTATTTCCCTTACAAAATACTAAAGAAGATACTGGCTTCGACCAGTTCGAGCTTGGAAGATATGATGAGGACTCCATCAGGTTTGCAAGCGCTTCAATTATTGCACCAAAACAGAATTGGAAAATAGTCTTATGTTGACCCCGTAGACATGGAGATGCATTTAGAGGAAATTTGGGAGTTTATTGATTTGCTGAAAGTTTTTTTCCGGGCTGGTAATCCTGTTTCTATATTTATAAAGGGAATGTAAAACTTTTTTGTCTACAAAAAGACAAACAATATTGAACTCATCAAGAAATCAGCCGACAGAGGATATAATGTCACCACTTATGTATACGACATATATATATATATAAGTTGTAAGGCAAGACGAAGCAGGGGAGATGCTTATGTTTCAAAATTATCTCGCGCAAAACAGATGATAATTATCCAAAAAATTATCAACTCCGGTCGCCGTGGGAATAATTTTGAAGAACCAGAAGACTTACGGACTAGGTGTCAGGAGACTAACCAATAATTTATTTCTTTTTGGAAATGCGGCTGTGGTGTGTCCACTCCCTATATAGATTGGCATGTTGATAGATTTAAAGGTCCTAACATGTATAGTACATGTTTCTGGACGCGAGATAAAGAAATGTTCTTTCGGTACATCACGTATGCCGTCAGAACTAGACCATCGATGGAGAAATGGTGAATCAGGATGTACTCATTACAAATGTACTGGAACTTTTATTGTTATTATGCAAAAATTTAAGGTTTTGATTAAATTCAAGATGTCAATGTACCCGAATCCTTCTTTACGAATTTCATATTTTCCCTAATTTATGCAAAGATGTATGGTTTTTATTATATGGTTCTTTTGTTTGATATATCTCCTTAAGTTATTTTGATGAATATATTTCTATAAATTATTCTTTTTTACGATTTTCATATATTTTTGAGAACTTGTAGACTAGGGGTGGGCGTTTGGATAATTTGGATCCGATCGGGTTGGTTCTTTCAAGTATCGGGTTTTCGGGTATAGAGCTGAAGACCCCAATCGGGTATTTTTAATTTTAGGATCGACTTTGGATAGTTATGATTCAGGTTCGGGTCGGTTCTTACATTGTATATAAATGCCGATATTAATCTGGAATAAAATCCGGTTACAAACGGGTCTGGTTCTGTTCTCGAGTGTTTCGGTTATATGTATCCGAATTGTAACCAAACGTGCTCAAAAATATCCGAAGTACACAAATACTATCTGAAATCTAAGAAAATGAATGGTAAAAATAAACACTAAAATCAGTATCA